TAGCTAGGATTACAGGCATGAGCCATGGTACCCAGCTGAATGAAGGGTTTTGATTTCTTCATATTCTTGCCAATGCCTGTCTTTTTTATTTTAGCCATCCTCTGGGTATAGGTGTAGAACTTTGTAATAGTGGGAAGAGTATGGACTTGAGGGTAAAATTAAAATTAAATTAAAAAGGGAGACCAGCTACCAAGAAGTTTCTGTCCATTGGAGATTTAGGAATAAATTATTATCAAATTGGTAAGGTCTTTAATAAATTCCTTATTTTCCCCTAAAGCTTCTATAGGAAGGAATAACCTATTTGCGTTAGGTTGAAAGAGAAGACAAATAGCCAGAAAATGAATTATTTTAAAAGTATACACCTGAGTATCTAAGATTGCAGGTATGAGAATCAGGGCCTGGATATGTTTCAATTCTTGTTGGGGGTCTTGGTTCTTACAGACATGAAAGTTCTTTCTGGAATAAACAAGTATCAGGTGATTTGACGGCAAATTACCTCCACGTTGAAGTGGTAGAGTAGCCTGCCATGTACAAGGCCATAGGTTTGATCCTCAGCACTACAAACTAGATAAATAAAAACACAGCCTTGCACCATGCAGAAGTGAATCAGCATGATTAAGATGGGCGCTTTGTGTTTAAGGGTAGATGGTAATGCAATAATTGTTATTATCATCTTGCCCTTTGAGAGATCCACGTGAGGCCTCTGTGAACCTTGTCACAGATTGAGTTGCAAAAGAATGTCCCTTCTGTGTAGGGAAACATGGGTCTCCTTCACCTTAAGTTGCATTTGGGCTTTCTCCACCAGCTTCCCTGCCTTTCAGAGAAGTGAGTCCCCCCCCCCCATGAGTAAACACAGAGGGAAAACCCAGCCTCACCCATGGGCACCTGCCTCAGATTGACCCCAGCTCATTCTTCTGCGAATGCATCTCTACAGAGCAATACCATTCACCTTTTGTCAGTTCTTAGGCACTTAAAAAACATTCTGGGCCCAGACAAACTGGTAGACTTGTATGAAGATGCCATTGCTTCCTGCTCCCCCCAATCAACCTATAAAGCTGCAGTTTATCATCACCAAATTCAGAATCCCATCCCGACCACCCCACAATTTGGATTGCTTATTTGTTCATTCAGGAAACATTTATTATATACTTATATATGGGAGACCCCAAGTTGAGAACCATGTAGCAGCAATGATGATAGCAGCTGATTGCAGAAAATGTGATCAGAGTCTAGGCCCAGGCTGCTTAAAGCAAATGGCAGCCCAGTTGCTGTGTGGCTGGCGAGTATGGATGCTGGGTGCTGCTGTTAGAGTCAACTTGTCTACAACTGGGCATCTGCTGGATTGCTGCTGCTGCCATAATAGAGGACCACAAACTTGCTGCCATAAAACAGTGTAAATGTATTAGCTACTGCCCTGCAGGTAAGAAGTGAGTGGACTCAGCTGCTTTCTCTACTTCTGGTCTTACAAGGTTAAAGTCAAGTTCACAGTCAGCCTGAGCTTTTTCTGGCGTGCAAATCTATTCCTTAACCATTTGGGTTATAGGTAGTTTGTGTTATGCGTAGAGTTGGGGACATTGCTTCTAGACTTCTAGAGACTGTCTGCATGCTCAGATCTGACCTCTCAGCCTCAAAGCCTGTGGTAGTTGGGCATGCTAGCTAATAGATTAGCAGGTTTTCATAAGCCCTGTTTTGTTGGGTGGGGGGGCTGAATGAAGCAAGGGAAAACTACTTGGATAAATACAGTACTGTGGAGATAAACTCTGTTTCAGTGGCTGAACTCTTTGCTGCAAGAAGTAATGGTGGAGAGACTGTATCCCTGTATTTGCTCCTTTATTTCTCCCAAAGCTAGGATTATAAGTATCATTTCATGTTCATGGACAAGTGAAGGCATGTGAGAAATACTAGACACAGGTCAAGATTAGACCTGGGTTCTGTCTGGTGATGCATGCCCAGATATAAATGCAGCATTGCTGATTAAGATCATAATCTCTCTTTAATGAGAGCAAATGCTTGTGACATGGTTCAGTATCTGCTACTTAGCCTGGAGCACAAGAGTTTATGGTCTTCCAGTGCTGTATAGATTTTTCAGCGAATGTGTGATGTTCAAGTCTGTAGATTTTTCAGTGTACTCTTAAAACTTTTGGACTTGGGGAAGGAAGGGATCGTAGGGGAAAAAACAAGGATGCTTGACAGGAAATGTACTCATTACCTTACTCATGTAACAGTAACCCCTCTGTACAGTATCTTTACCATAAAAATATTTCTTGAAAAACCTTTAGACTTCTGAATTATACTATTCTGATTTTTCTTCCAGTTTAATGTTAAGGGTAATGGCAAGTTTGTAACATCAGAATATGTTAATGTCTCTGTTGAGGGGCCCTTCTTAGGAATTCCATGGATATCTGACCACAAAGCTCTTTTTCTTTTTTTTTTGAGTCTGGGTCTTTCTATATTATATTGCTCAGAGTGGTCTTGGACTCCACAAGTTCAAAGGATTCTCCTGGCTCAGTCTCCTGAATATCCAAGACTAGAAATGGGACCCACAAGCCCAGCTTCAAATGAATTGTTTCTTATTATTGAAAAACTTAGTGTAATCTATTTCCCACATAATATTCCAACCGAGTGAGTTCTATAAATAAACTAATTGTTCCACATTCCTTTAGAATAGATGTAAGGGATAAATGTCAATGTCACTTTGTCTATGCTAGTTCATCTTCCCGTGCCTTAAAATTGTGTATCACTCTATTCAAACCACTCTTTTTGCTGTTGTTGTTGTTGGTGGTGGTGGTGGTGGTGGTTGTGGGGCCTGAACTCTGGGCCTAGGCGCTGTCCCTCAGCTCTTCAGCTCAAGGCTAGTGCTCTACCACTTCAGGCATAGCACCACTTCCGGCTTTTTCTACTTATGTGGTGCTGAGGAATCGAACCCAGGGCTTCATGTATGCAAGGCAAGCATTTTACCACTAAACCACCTTCCCAGGCCTAAAACCACTCATCTTTTAAAACTTATCTTTCAGTAGTTATGCAAAGGGATTTCCATTCAACAGGTCCATTTTATGAGTACAATGCATCTTGATCCATGTCACTCCTTCCATTGTTCTCCTCCAGCTCTCCCAATTCCACCCATCAAGTTACCTGGTCCAGTTTACATGTGTCCATTGAATATTATGACTGTGTTCACCCATATGTCCTCTCTCCATCGTAAAATGATCTGTCCATCACTTTTTGTAAGCTAGGTATGAGAGGATTTAAGAAATGATTGAAACTCAACTTCCACCTCTGAAAGCTAGCTTGAACTTTACCAACAGACATCAAACACCCTCTCTGTCACACTTCCTAAGTCTTATTTCTAACTCCAGTCACCCCTCCTCACCCAGCCCAGGGTTCTACCAACCCTGGTACCACATTTACTGTTCCATCTCTCCTTGGCTAGAATAAACATGCTGTGAGGATAGGGATTTCTGTTTATTTTACTTACTGATGAATTTCACGTAGCAGTTGGTATAGTGTAGCCACTCCGTACTTGCAGGAGGGTGGAAGAAATAATCTCCTCCCTGTGTTTTCCATCTATAAAACAAACATTTTTTTATAACTAAAGCAAATGGTACCCAGGATTGCAAGCAAGAGAAGTCATCTTGTTATTGGTACCACCATGCCCCCATTCAGTCCTCTATAAGCCGAGTCTATAAAGCATTGAGCAACGAGGAATCTCACACTTACAAGATCTTGCCCTGCAGGCTGACAGTGATGCTGATATTTATCACATCTTTCTAGAAACAGTACACATTTTGGAGTCACAGTAAGTTAGCACATAATTAATCTGCACTAAATGAGGGGAAGAGAAAGGCTGTGATAATAATAAAAGTCTATAAACTGCCAAATCATGGAAACCTAGATTCCAGGAGTTGTGCATTATAAATATTTACAGTTGGGCATACATGTACTTATGTCAGTCACCAGGCACACATCCTCACCCCACGATGTGTCTTCTGTTACAACAAATGGACATGCTCTGGGGGAGAATAAGGCGGGTGTGTGATAATTCTGAGTTACTAGATTATTGTTTGGGTTTGGTTTCTTAGAGACAAGATCTCACCACATAGCCCAGGCTGACCTCTAACTCACCTTCCTCCCACCGCAGCCTACTTACTGCATGCTGAGATTACAGGTGTGAGCCACCACACCCAACCTCTCAGTGACTTGTCTGTGGAGAACACACTTAGTGATTCTTCTAGTCAAGCAAAGGGTTTCATGTTATTTTGTTCTTACCTGTCTTCTTCCCCATAATTGTTAGTTTTATTTCTTGGAAATAAAAAGACTAGAAATACATGGTGAATGTCTTAAGTTCTTTTTCAAAGACAGTGTCATAAATTCATAACTATTTGGAACATTTGTTTTAGTTGATCTGGTGTCTTTCCAGATTACTTTTTTCAAAGCTGGAAGTAAGCAGGTGATGGGTGTTTCCCTCCCCCCAGCATGAAGACAAGATGGCAGACCCTACCATCTACCATGGGACCAATATGGCGCTGGCCAGACCTGACCTCCTTACTTCAGTTTGATCAAGGAGAGAATCTTTGTTGAGATTCTAAAGTTATAAAGAAATTTCCTTTACTTTTCTCTGGGTCCAGTACTTTGATTGTTCTGGGAATCAGGAAGTCTCTTGTCTCGAGTTTTATTCAAACTAGAAATTTGGTGGGTTTTTTTGTTATTTTTTTGCAAAATCAAAGCCTAACTATTGTTTTAACTCAGTGAAAAAACACACAAAAACCGAAATACCAGCCTATTTTATGTACTGCATAAAAATCATGGAAATTTGGGGATTTCTTGAATCAGTAATTCTTCCTTGAAAAAAAATAATGAAATGTTTCAAGACCTTGCTGACTCTCTAAGGAATTTTGTTTTTCTGAAGGAGAGATTTGCGTTGTTTTTTTTTCCTCTGTGTGCTTTCATTGTTGTCTGTGGAATATGCCTGAGAACATTTTTATGTTATGTTTTTCTTCCAGATCGCAGCAATGGTGTGCAGGAGACTAGCTTAAGAGACTTACTGAAAGAGCTCCCAGCTAGCCACTACAGCCTGCTCAAGTACCTTTGTGGGTTCTTGACACAAGTCGCTGCCAACCACGTGTACAATCGAATGGACATTCACAACCTCGCCACCATATTTGGGCCAAACTTCTTTCAGTAAGTTAGTGGGATTTTGCTGTTAAGATCATCATGTCTGCCTTTCTACTTACTGCTGTCTGAAATGACCAGGGATGCCAAAACCGAACTTCATCTGAGAAATCCTGCAGTCTGGGTTGGGCGAGCTCCATTTTGATTTGGGAACACATCAACCTTGTTTCAATTTCAAGCTTAAAGAGTGCAAATAAGCCTTCTTCTGAAACTATCATTTGCAGTAATCCAAAGTACCTTCTTTAAAATTGTAGACATGTTTTCTTTTCATGAAATGAAGTATTTAAACATTGGTAATCTGACATGCTTTTAGCAGGAAGAAAGCAGAGAGGAGACAGCAGTTTTTATTTTTATTTTTTGCCAGTCCTGGGGCTTGAACTTAGGGCCTGGTCACTGTCCATACCTGAGCTTCTTTTTCTCTCTGGTACTCTACACTTGAGCCATGGCACCACTTCCAGCTTTTTCTCTTTATGGGGTACTGAGGAATCAAACCCAGGGTTTCATGCATGCTAGGCAAGCACTCTACCACTAAGCCTCATTTCCAGCCCAAGCAATTTTTTTAAAGCATGATAAAATTCAGATTATTGCTCTAAGGTGAAGAATTGGGAGAAGAATTGTGTCAGTGATAGGGAAATCAAATTTGAACTTCATTTCTTTTCTAAGCTTCGAGTAGTGGGAAGTGCTATGTTGCTAGCCACAAGAACTTTTTTTTAAAACTTTTATTTTCCTTGTTATTTCTCAAAGCTTTTTAATTGGCAATAGATGAAACATGATCACTGCAATCCAAAGGCTTTGCCTTTGCTCTCTTATTAATCTCCACTGACATCACACCTGCTCCACTTGGAAAATCTCAGCAAGTGTATCCTCTCCTTTGCCTCAATCACTGTCTGGCTCATTCGGCTGGCCAGAGCTGGGACTAACACAATCCTCCGAATGTTGAAATACAGACCATGGCTTACAGCATGAAGCAGGGCCATCTACTGCCTCATCTGTAGAGAATGCCTATGTTTGCAACTGTCCTGTTGGTGACTTTTAAAGATGCTCTTGTGTGTTTGTGGTATTTGGGGTTGAATTTAGGGCTTCATGCTTGCTAGGCAGGCATTCTACGACTGGAGTCACACCTCAAGCCCGTGTCTCATTTTAGGCCCATGCTAGCCCAGCCTGAGATCTGCATATTTGTGCTCCACCCTTGCATCGCTGGTGATGACAAATATGACCAGCCATTGTGTTTCCCCAAAAGCTGGGATAGCAGGAGTGTGTCACCTTGCTGAGCCAATCAGTAAGAGGGAGTCTCAAGAACATTTATGCCTGGGCTAGCCTCAAGCTATGATTTCTTGATCTCTGCCTCCAAGTAGCTAGGATTACAAGCTCAAGTCACCATGCCTGGCTAAGATGTTTATTAATTTTTTTGGACAGGTCTTGGGGCTTGAACTCAGGGCCTGGGCACTGTTGCTGAACCTCATTGTGCTCAATGCTAGCTTTCTACCACTTGAGCCACAGAGCTAGTTCTAGCTTTTTCTGAGTAGTTTATTGAAGATAAGATTCTACTGCCTGGCTAACTTTGAACTGTGATCTCAGCCTCCTGAGGAGCTAGGATTATAGGCATGAGCCACCAGTGCCCAGCTCATGTTTGTTAATTTTTAAATAATGTTATGGCACAGGCTATGTTAGGGTCCTGGGAATAATGATCTCAAACACAAGCTCTACTAATTTCTGATTCAGGAGCTCTGTGAAACCAAAAAATCTTCGTGTGTTTTTTTTCCCTCCACTCTGCCCAGTAAAACCTTTGATGGACTACAGGTGAGAAATAAAAGTGTGCACAGAAAGTTATTCAAACATATGAGAAATAAAAGTGTATGCAGAAAGCTATTCAATAATTTTGAAAACCTAGGTTATAGAAGAGATTAAAATAAGTTTAAAACTAAGGGGAACATTAAACACAGATCCACACATCACTACTGACTTATAGTTGGGCTGGAGCTAGAATTTTGGGTAACCTGCTGAAATTAATCAAGTGTCTAACTTATTTTTACTTAACATAATTTACCCATGTTACAGCAAATAGCAGTATTTTTCTCTTTTTCGTTTTTGTTAATGGCTAAATAAGATTTCACTGTGTTCCATACCACATTTTCTGTATTCATTTACCCATCATTGGATATCAAAGTTGATTTCATATCTTAGTTACTGGAAATAGTATTGCAATAATCATGTGGAGTGTGGATGTATTTTTGACATACTGACATATCCTTTAGATGTTTATCCAGAAGTGGGATCACTGGATCGTGTGGCAGGCCTTACTCTATCTTTTGAGGGTCTCCATCTTCTTTCTTTCTTTTTTTTTGGGGGGGGGGTCCAGTCATGGGGCCTGAACTCTGGGCCTGGGCACTGTCCCTCAGCATTTCAGCTCAAGGCTAGCGCTCTACCACTTGAGCCACAGCGCCACTTCCAGCTTTTTTCTTTTTGCTTATGTGATGCTGAGGAATTGAACCCAGGGCCTCAGGCATGCAAGGCAAGTGCTCTACCACTGGGCCACCTTCCCAGCCCCTCCATCTTCTTTCTATAATGACTGTACTAATGTACTCTCCCACCATGAGTGGAGAAGGGTTCCCTCTCTTACAGCCCTGCCAGCCTTTATTATTTTGTCTCTTTGATATTAATTCTTTGAATTGGGATGAAATAATATGTTTGAGATTTGCATTTGCATTATCCTGGTGGTCAGTGATTTCGAACATTTTCTCAAGTACTTGTTTGCCTTGTTTATATTTTTTTTGACAATTATCTATTTAGGTATCCACTGAATTTTCAGGTTTTTTTTCATTTATTTGAATGCATTAGGTATTCTGGATAGTAACCTGTTTCAGAGTGGAAATTATGGTTCTCTTTGCCCTGTTTCCTTTGCTGTGCAGAAGTTTTTAAGTTGCATGCAATCACATTTGTCAGCTTTTCATGTCATATCTAAAAATCTTTGCCTAGAATTATGTCCTAAAGCAAAGCAGTCCTCTGTCTTTTCTATCAGTAGGTTTTCTTTTATTAAGTTTCAGGTCTTAGAGGCAAGTGTTAGCTCCATTTTGGGTTGATTTCTGTATATCCTGAGTTAGCGGCCCAACCATTGTTGGGCTATTTCTTTGGAAGTAAGCAGGTTTGTTTCTGGATCTTCTTTTCTGTTCCTTTGGTCTATGTGTCTGTATTTACCCCAGTACTCACTGTTTTGGTTATTAGAGATTTGTAGGGATTTGGTTTTTTTTTTTTTTTTTTTTTTTTTTGTGGGGTTCTTCTTGTTTTGTTTTTGGATTTGGATTGAGGTTCTTTTTTTAAATTGTTATTATAAAGATGATGTACAGAGAGGTTATAGTTACATAAGGCAGGTAGTGAGTACATTTCCTTTTGAACAAAGTCACTCCTTCTTTCACTCCTGTTTTTATTTTTGACAAGGCCAGCTAGTCACTTTCCAAGGACCCTTGTAGATATTCCAGGGAGACTGATTGACAGCTTCCTAGACCTAGGCTGGGAGGGGCTAATTGACAGCTTCCTGGCCTAGGATATTGACAACTTCCTGGCATAGGGTGGGAGGGCTGCTTCTCCAACACAGCAGTACACCATACTGTATTCAGATATCTCAGTTTGTCCTGACAACATCTTTTAATGCTGCTTTTTTTTTTTTTTTAATCAAACTAGAGCCCAGTGGCTCATGCATTCTGTTTGTTAGGTCTCCACAGTATGTCTTTTTTTTTTTTTGTCAGTCTTGGGGCTTGAACTCTGGTCCTGGGAGCTGTTCCTCAGCTCTTCAGCTCAAGGCTAGCACTTGAGCCACAGCGCCACTTCTGGTTTTCTGGTGGTTTATTGGAGATATGAGTCTCACAGACTTTCTTGCCCCAGCTGGCTTTGAACCGCGATCCTCAAATCTCAGCCTCCTGAGTAGCTAGGGTTACCAGCGTGAGCCATTGATGCCCGGCTTTTCTGCAGTATGTTTTAATAAAAAAAAAAAAACAACAGCCATCATATATGTTCACCAGCCCACAGTTTGCTTTTCTTTAACTACACTGAATTTTTTTCCCAGCCACATTGACTTTGAGGACACCAGACATTGTTTTGTGGAATAATGTATATTCTGAATTTGTCTGCGCTTCTCATCATAGAACGTGTATATCTTTTTTTTTTCTTCCTCTGTCCTTTGTGTTTGCTGAAACCTAAAAGGCAGATGGATATGAATCTTGGTTAGAATCAGGTCGGATGTTTTTGGAAAACGGCTTCATGAGTGATACGCATGCTTTGCGGTATACTCATGCCTAGCTGTTCTCTCAGTCAAGGTCACCAATTTCAGATTCCTCTACTGTAAGTTATTTCTGCCTTGCAAGTAATCTGATGAGTGATTGTTTGCATAAGTGTCATACCCATCCAAACTTCCCACACTAATGGTTTGTTCATCTATGGATCTTCCTAGTTTGAATCAATTCTTTCTTATCAGGTTACAGTATTCTAATTCTATTAAACATTTCTTTTTCCTTTAAGAGCTATCATTTATCAAGAAGCCCTTTCCCTCCTCAATAGGAAACAAGTAACATTATATTTCATAGGTATTACCCCCAAGTTGGACAAGTTGTGAAAGGTCTGTGAAGGCTGTCTTCTGTGTTCCTTAGAACTGACCTAAAATAACCTTTCCTGTCTTTCTGACTTAAAAATGATTTCTCAAGATGGGATTAGCCATTTCTTCTAGAAGCCTTTCTTTCTTTCTTTTCTTTTTTAGAATGGCTTTTAGAAGCCAAGTTCTGTGTGCTAAGTTGATTGTTTCTAAGCCTAATGACTTCTAGTGCCAGGAAGTAATAAATGAATTATTGAATGACTGACCATATAAAAGAAATAATGGGGTTATATTGATATTCTGCCTTTAATTTTAGCATTATAAGATTTACATGACATAGACTGCTTTGATTTTTATATTTGTATCTCCATCTCTGGCAATAAAAAAAAACCTTGCTTCTTAAAAATATATGCATAATTATAGATTCATTT